ATACAAATACTTTTTAAAGTAAAGTCCTTTATTTTTAACAATTAAGCTATGCAGTGGCCCTCTTTTGTTTTAGTCTGTGCACTTGGTTAAATAAAGTCTGCCATACGCTCAAGTAGCAAAGGCTCATGGGACGTTTTATAAATTGATAAAATATAGTTTTTAAAATGAGTTTTTGTGGCCTTATAAAGTGTGCAAATCTACACGTGGAGTTAAATCTGATCTAAATATTTCTTGTTGTCATTTCATGTTTCATGTTTAATCCTAATAAATCAAAGATATGTCAGCACTATGAATGAAAATTACCTTCACTACAGCCCTTTTATATAGTCATTTGACCAATGGAAACACTGTGTTTCTACATAGGATAACAGGTTACAACCTTGTAACTTTGGCAACTGTTGGTGGACCAAATCAAGTGGCTTGGCGGGCCAAATTTGGCCCGCGGGCCCCACTTTGGGCTCCTCTGCGAGAGTGAATTTCTTTATCTCATGACTGTACATGTCAGAAACACAGATGTTACGTCTGCCACAGGGTTAGGGTCACTAATTGTGCGTCTTCATTTTAAACCAAAGTAGGTCTGTTTGGTTCTGACAGAATCTATTATTTTAATGTTTTTTGAGTTTTTTCTGTGTTTATGAAGGCATACTGTGGGTTTAAAGACCACCGTGGGCTCAGAGGGCCAGACATCGCCACAGGAAAGTGGGGCTGTGGAGCATTTAAAGGAGACCCACAACTTAAAGGTGAACTCGAATCTTTAATCTGTTCATTCTTAGTAGATTATTATGAAGGAATCAAGTTTTCATTTCTCAGCACAAACACACCAACACAAAACTCCACAGATTCTCTCCATATTAGTGATGATTTGTGTCAATGATCTTTAGGGGAAAGCATCAGGCAGTGGTTTATTTAAAGCTCTCCCTCTTGTTGTCGGCTCCTGCTCAGCCCTGATCCAGCTGATGGCCGCAGCAAAGGCCAGGAAGGGTTTGGCCTTCTTCACGTTTGGAGATGAAGACCTGAAGGAAAGGCTGGAGCAGATCTACCACCTGCTGCTCACAGAGAAGACAACAGTTGGTGCGACTTTTTAAAGCTATCTCAAGTTATCATGATTGTTTACTTTATCATCGATAAACCCACTCCTATTGTTTGAAGTGGAATTCTTTCCCATTTTTGATTGATGTACAACTGCAGTTGCTCAGCAGTCTGGGGTCTCCATTGTCGTAGTTTGTGCAGTTTAGTCAATAATTGTTTCTCTTTGATACACCTGGAGGAGGCAGGACAGGTGTCCTTTCTTTCTGTAAAATAATCTGTTTGTAATTGTTTTTTTAGGCCAACTGTATGAAGTTCTGGTGAATTACTGTGCTGTGAGGCAAACAGAAGGTTCCCACGTGGATCTGTTTGAGTTCATCAGAACAACCATCAAACCTTCCAGAAGTCAGCTGTAAAGAAGTCAGCTGTGAAGTCTGCACCCAGTTTGATCTAAACCAGGGGTTCTCAAATGTTTTGGGTCTGGGGACCCCTTACCAGGGTGAAAAAATTCCAGGGACCCCCTCAGAAACTCCATGCTGTTTTAAAATATAATTTACTGTCATTTCAACCCCTAAATACCATGAGAGTATATATTTTTGTTTAGTTTGTTATGTTTGTTTTATTAGTTCATTGCTCTCAATGCATTTTTCCTACATAAAAACCAAATTAACAATTTAGTGAAATTTTTTGAGGACCCAAGATACCTCTCTCAGACCCCTGGGGGTCCTGGGACCCCAGTTTGAGAACCTCTGATCTAAATATCTGAAGGAAGTATTTAATTCCATTAATATTCTGAAATGATTTTTCACTGTCTGATTTCTTGTTTATAGTTGACATTCCGACATTGACCAAGCTTGTTTGGTTTCAGTTTGTGTTTTGATATGAAGCAAGTAGATAAACAATTAACTAATACTAAAAATTAAATAATTAGCAGGAACCAGTGTCCCATAATGAACTGAGGTAGAAACCTGTGAATAAAAAAACTGCTCTAAGATATTAGATTACATTTAGATAACACTAAAAACAGGTCAGAATTGTCTAGATGAGCCCTCTTACACAGTCTGTCATAAACTTAGTGAACTGAACCAGAACCAGCAGCAGAGATCCACTCAGCTGGGTCTGGTTAATAAACAACAATCATTGGTAATATTTTTAAGACACGTGTTTTATGTTTCACTGACCTGCATATCAGAGTCCTCAGTATAAATGTTTCTTCTGTCTGAATTTTAATAATTAAAGTTGATTAAAAAACCTTGAATGAGTGAGTGTCTCATTAGTTTAAAGTTTAATCTGATGTGACCTGCTGTGGTCACTGAGAGCGGTCAGTCTGAGCAACGTTATGTTTTACTACAGTACACACCAACAGTTTGGACACACCTTATTCAAAGACTTCTCTTTATTTTCATGACTATGAAAATTGTAGATTCACACTGAAGGACCATCAGCTGTGTACTGTATCCACCTGCACAACACAACTGATGGTCCCAACCCCATTTATAAGGCAAGAAATGCCACTTATTAACCTGACAGGGCACACCTGTGAAGTGAAAACCATTTTAGGTGACTACCTCTTGAAGCTCATCAACAGAATGCCAAGAGTGTGTGAAGCAGTAATCAAAGCAAAAGGTGGCTACTTTGAAGAACCTAGAATATGACATTTTCAGTTGTTTCACACTTGCACCATGTAAATTAAAACGAATGTATCTAAATTAAATTAAAGCAGTAAATGTAAATAATCTCAGGGTTCCCACGGGTCCTTGAAATCCTTGAAAGTTTGTGAATTTGAAAAAAGATTTCAAGGCCCCGGAAAGTTTGTGTAAATAGCCAAGAATTACACTTGTCCTTGAAAGTCCTTGAATGTTTTTTGAGGATTGAAGTTCTCTATTCACATGACTGATTTTCATCATCTTTTAAAAAAATGAATTATGAAATTAAATTAAAAAAATTACATTGGTTGCGGCGGATAACAGGATGACGTCATTGTTTCTGACTCAACAACTTGTATGTTGTTCAGTTTTTCATTGAATTTACATGATATTAAACCTGTTTATTGGTAACATTCTGCAGTAGCAGTAGGTAATTGCCATGGCGCGTGGTTCTTTAATTTGAGGAAATTGGTACAGGAAAGTCCTTGAAAGGTCCTTGAATTTGATGTTGACCAAGGTGTGGGAACCCTGTAATCTGCTATATTAGACACAAATAGATGTTTACAGTCATGTTGCAGGATGTTTAGCCTGGCTCTTGCCTTCCTGCTCAGTTCCGCTCAATTCTAGTTTCCCTTCATAGTGAAGGACAAGAGTCTGGTTTTTACCAGGCTACAGGATGATGGAACCAAGAAGAGACAAAACCCTGAGTTCATTTGGAGTCTGAGGGAATTAATTAATTAGAATAAAGTACACTTTTGTTTAAAATCTACTTCAGTAAATTGTTTGAATACATCTTTAGTTTCTCTTATTTTAAATAAATGATATCCTGACATTTTACATTTTACAAGATCTTGGCTGTTTTTAGGAATCACTGTTCAAATCAGACCTTTGATTTGATTGATCAAAATGTTTTCTGACCAGACAGCTTGGCCAAAGCTCAGAAAACATGTTAATATTTTCATCATTTTGTTTTGTTTCTATTCAACCCAGAATGGAACAGAAATATTTCCCCTTTTTTCAAAAATATTTCATTCTTTTAATTAAATCAGTTTTTAAAAGTCAATTTAATGCAGGTGTGTGGATATTAGCTGGAACATGACCTTCCTTTTTATTAGCTGGGGAAAAGTAAATTAATCCCCTGTAATACGAAGTGTACAATAAAGTGTTGACTCTTAATAATTCACATATTTTTACCATGTATTTAAAAATATACTTTCTCATACTTTTAGCTGTGATAAATTGTTTCATGCTGTAACATTCAGACTGTGTCAGTGACTGCAGGACTGAGCAGACACTGGTTTGACAAATACAACATGGCAGCTCCAGTAAAACGGACTCTTGTGGCTTTATTCCTCAACACGGAGAAAGGCAAAACACAATGCACAGAATTATACATACAGTCACCGGGCATCATCCCACTGTTATGTTCTTATTATAAAACAGATGGAGGAACCACAGAAACCCTGCCAAGAGACTCACTGATCAGACAATAACCAGGAAGCCAGAGAACCTTGATGGAACTGAGCAGCTCTGCATAAACTGGAGTATTTGCTGGACCTGTAGAAGCTGCACAGAGCTGCTGATGGAGAGAATAACAGGAAAAACAAGACAATAAATGAAAAAGGCACCAAAGGAAACTAACGTAGATTTTTCTTGGCATCAAAGAGAACTATCTGTTGTAGACCTAATCTGTCTGGACAAGCACAGCGGTGACAGCTTCATACTGTGGAAATGTTTTATTTTGTCAAGAACCGGGGTGGAGCAGGGGTGGCCATGGCCACCACAAATCTTTGGCCACCCCATTGGCCACCCTGCTGTGCACACCCCTTCCACAGTGAAACAACTTTTAGGGGTGTAATAATCCTCCTGAACAGTTGGAAGCAGTGTTTAACACTTTGAAACATCACCAAGCTCTATCACTGAAGAACAGTAATGATAAGCAAGTGATGGCTTTTTTTATATATAGCACATATGCCTACAGTATATCTGATTTATGGTGACAAATGTTTTTTTTGTCATTTTATGTTATGAAGGCTGCATGATGCTCTGTCCCTTTTGGTTATGAATAGACCTATCACTAAATCAGAAAAAGTGAAACACTCCTTTAAATTCACTGTTGGTGGTTATCAATATTGCACCTGTTCATTGGGTAACATGCAGCTGAAGGTCATCATTATTTGGCACAATGACGTGTTAAATTAAAAATAAATCAATAAACAATATAAAAGTAAAAAGCACCCATATAGTCATTGGATATGATAAATTGTGTCACTTTAATTAATCTCATCTCAGCTGTAGTTTAAAAACATGATGATGGAACTAGATTAATGAAGAATCTGTCTCTGAAATAATTATATCAAGTGTTTATTTATGTAGGTAAAAGTATGTTTAACAACCTGGTAAAATACACCAGAATGCAGGAAATGGAATCTATTTTGTTCAAAATTTTCTGGGGGAGGATCCCCAGACCCCCCAACAGTGTGCCCCCCCACTGTTAAAATGGTTCTGATGACCATGTTTATTAGGTACTCACTGCCTGTATAAGGCCATAAGGAAATGACCAAAACACAAATATCTGCAGATACTTTCAAGTAAAAATTGATGTAATTTTCCTGGCCACCCCTATGTGAGTAGTGGTCCCAGTCTGGCCACCCCTGTGTGAGTAGTGGTCCCAGTCTGGACACCCCTGTGTGAGTAGTGGTCCCAGTCTGGCCACCCCTGAGAAAAATGTCTGGCTCCGCCACTGTCAAGAACTGGAAAAAAGTACAACTTGTAGGAGCATGAAGCAACATACAGAGAAATTCTTGAGGGAAATCGTTTTCTACAAATTTAAAACATGGGTACAATTTGTAGAAATATTTTAAGAGTTTCTATAAGATAATAAATTATTGACAATAATTGACCAGCAAATCCCTGATTGGCAGATGAATATGAACCTGATTAAACCTGACCTTACACATTCAGTTTGCATAAAATAATTGCTCATTTCCTTCATTGTGTCCATCCCTGTGAACCTGCGTGGTAACAGTGCTTAAAAATCTTTGTGCCTTTTGTCTGAACATCAGTGCAAAACGTCAGCAAACAGTGAAGCCAGAACCTGGAGCCTGAGGCCCGTCCAGTAGGTGGGATCAAAGACTGATTTAAAGTTTCCCTGAGGATCCGTCCACACCAAAGGCTGTGTCCAGCAACCTCTGCAGCTCCATGAGGTGTGTGTGCTTGTTCCCGGTGGCTGGAGCTGCTGCAGGCTCACGGCCAGCATACCTACACACACACACACACACACACACACACACACAC